TTTTTTTTTTTTTTTTTTTTTTTTTTTAAACGGGGTATATACTGTTGTCTTTGTGGTTAGCATAAATATTATTTTTGTCATTGTAAAGAATTTCGTTATTGGTGGTTTTTGGCGCTTGAGTTAATCAAGAATAATTGTGACAAACATGTAATTTATATAAATATTTAATTCTTTCTATTTATTTGTACTTGCAGAAAAACTGTTTCCCATAATGTAACCACAGACGTTAGATGAGATTGCTCTTGATTTAGGGTATGTATATATTATTTACCAAAATTTTAATGAATTAATCTCAAAGTAGGTAAATATTAAAGGCAATATACATTATATTGTAAGGTTTTTTATTGCTCAATACTACGACTATTTTTACAGAATGGAAGAAGTACAATCACAAGCAGTACACTGTCAAAACTTTACTGGTAGAAGAATAATTGATGTTGCATGATTTTGAAAGCAAATAAAAGATATTAAACACGCACCCACTTTTAATTGCACAATAGACTTATGCGACATTGTAGCCGAACGCCAAATTGGTTATGAATCTATTTTTACAATTGTTATATTTGTATTCGATTTGTTTTAATATAAACAACCAACTGTACGTTTTGTACATACCTTAAAGTTGATTTAAAATAAAGAAAGTTCTAAACCTTACACGAAGGAGTTTACATTAACATGGTGACAGCGGAAAACAAAAGAAAGTAATATAGTTTATATGTAAATAATAAAATGTACTGAAGCGGTAAAACGAGAATCGTGCGCAAAAATAATAAATAAAGTAGAAAAAATAATAAAGAAAAATGGAAAGAAACCTGGCTATGATGAAATACGAAGGAAATCTATCTACTAACTGGGAGAAATTCAGAAGAGGATTTGAAGATTGTTTGATAGCGTTCGGTGAAGAAGATATGAAAGAGAAGAAAAAAGTAGCACTATTTCTCTACATGCAGTAGGAGAGCAAGGTATGGATATTTACCAAACATTTGAATTAGATGAAAAAGACAAAACACTAGAGAATATCATAGAAAAATTTGATAAATACTTTAAACCTAAAATAAATATTACATACGAAAACTATATTGTCTTTAATCGCAAACAAAAAGAAAATGAAAGCTACGAACAGTATATAACAGTTTTAAAAAACCTTAGTTCTACATGTGATTTTGGTAATATTAAAGATCAATTAAATAAAGACATATTTGTGAGTGGAATAAACAGCTCAGAAGCTAAAGAAAATTTGCTAAAAATATCTAATTTAACGTTAGAAAAAGCGCTAGATATATGTAGAACAAAGGAGCTAGCCGCTAAACAAATAAAAAATATTGAAAATGAGACGCAAGACATTGAAGTAATTCGAAAAAGCAACGTTTTTGGTAAATGTATGAAAAATCATCCATATGGAAAATGTCCAGCGTATGGAAAAATATGTTCAAAATGTGAAAAAATAGGACATTTTGCACAGGCTTGTAAATTCAGAGGATATCATGAGGATATCAGAAGACAAATACCAGGGCGACAGGAAGACGAAAAGGGGAAGCAAACAAGTACGATAACAAACCATTCAGGAGAGACAGAGAAGAAAGAGGGTTTAAAAACTACAGAAAAAGAAACGAAGTCGATCACGTAATAGAATCAATAAATAACGTCAACGTAGATGAGAGAAAAAAGCATTGGTATGTCACTTTAAAAATAAATAATATAAATATTAGTTTAAAACTTGATACTGGAGCTGAGATTTACTTCCAATTTCTAATTATAATAATTTAAATTTGGAAAATAAAACTATAAATAAACCGCGCAACTACATTACAACCTATACAAAAGAAATTATACCCATTATTGGCACTACTATATTGGATTGTTTTTATAATGATAAAAAATATAAAGTTAAATTTTATATTACAGAAAAGTTTAACAAGTTTAAATTAAATGTCATACAAAGGGTAAATACTATTGCTACTGAATATGAAAGTGTAATTAGTGATGAAATAGGATGTATTAATACAAAAATTCATTTATCATTAGATAAATCGGTAAAACCTAAAGTTGCTCCTTTTAGAAGAAATCCTTTTTTACTACACAATCAGTATAATTGCACAATCGCAATTAGTCCAGTAAATATACCGACCGAGTGGGTACATAATATCGTAATTGTAAAAAAACCGAGTGGTAAAATAAGAATTTGTTTGGATCCACAGCAATTAAACAAAGCTCTTAAAAGATCCCCTTATCCTTTTCCTACAATAGACGAAATTGGATGCAAATTGTGGTTATTGGATGTTACCTTTAGATGAAGAAAGTGCTAACATTTGTACTTTTCAAACACCTTTTGATCTTAATTGCGCTAGTGAAATATTTCATCGTATCATTTCGCAAATATTTGAAAGAATAGAAGGTGTTATAGTATTTCAAGATGATATTTTGATGCATGCCAAAAATTGGGAGGAATTAGAAATTACGAAAAAACAAGTGTTTGAAATTGCTCATAAACAAAAAATAAAATTTAATAAAGAAAAATGTATACTTAAGGCTGAAGAAATAAATTATTTGGGACATATTTTTAATAAAGAAGGAATAAAGCCTGATAATGACAAAATAAAAGCAGTAAAAGAGTTTAAATCACCAACAGATAAAAAATCATTGCAAAGAATATTAGGATTCTTTAATTATTTAAACAAATTTATACCAAATTATGCAGAATTAACGGCAAATATGCGTGAATTTTTAAAAGATAATATAATATTTGAATGGAATCAATACTTAGAAAAAGATCTAAATGCTTTAAAAAATAAAATAATAAATTCGCCACAATTGAAACTTTTCAGCCTGAAAGATAAAGTTGCTTTATCAGTAGACGCTAGTTCTAAAGCATTAGGCGCATGTACTACGCAAAACAATAAACCAGTTGCTTTTGCATCAAAAGCTTTGACTCAAGCACAGCAAAGATATGCTCAAATTGAAAAAGAATTATTAGCGGTGGTCTTCTATTGGCTGTGAAAAATTTAAACAATAAGAAAAGAGAAAAATGGCGATCTCTGTGTAGCGCATTGTATTATCCCTCTGTGAAGTTATTATAAGTTCAGGCTGTAGAATGCGGTTAAGTGCGGAAGACCTCAACAATATAAAGCAAATGTTCTCTACCTCTATGGAGGAGTTAGTAAAAAACGAAGATTTCTGTGCTAAAGTTGCCTATTTGGTTTCTAAAGAAATTAAAACTCTTTGTGAACAAGTGTCAACACTCACGGCCGAAAACCGGTCCTTGAAAAATAAACTGGACGACTTGGAACAATATACACGTCGTTCAAGTGTTCGATTTTACGGAATTCCCAAGGAAAAGAATGAGAGCATTGAGGGGAAGGTGATAGAGATTATTAATGAGAAGTTGCAAGTTCCGATTACTGCTGATTGTATAGACCGTTGTCACCGAGTGGGTTCCTACGAGGGCAAGGGGAAGAAGTTGCCGAGGTCTGTTATTGTCAAATTCGTTAGTTACAAATCTCAGGCCAAAGTTAAAAGTAAAATCAAAGCTAAAGGGTTCTCGTATGGCGGTATGTGAAGATTTAACATCCCCTCGATTTACGTTATTGAAAATGGCTCGCGAGAAATTCGGTAACAAGTATGCATGGTCCCATGATGGTAAAATATTTGTTAATTGTAAAAATTCTACTATTTGTATAAAATCTGCAGCAGATATTGATAACGTAGATATAAATTTATCGAACGCTTCTTCAAAATAATGTAATATGATGTGAAAGCTTCTTTTTCTTATTGGCACTCTTTTTCTTTTTTTTTTCTTGTTTTTGTTTGATTCTTTTTCTTCTCTTTTCTCCCTTTCTCTCCTCTCTTTTTCCCTTGGTTCTTATACTTTGTTGTGTTTGCTTCCATAGCTCGATTTCTTTTTTGCTTTGTTGTTATTATTATATTTAACACTATTATTATTATTATTTTTTTTTAATAATAGGCCCATCGACATCTAAGGTCATTAAGGCCATCGTAGTGATTAGACGTGGATCTCACTTGTAAGATCATTCTTAAATGTAACTGTGTACATGAACAGGTGAAGTGTAAAAGGACGGACAAACAAGTAAGTAAAAATAAAAACTATAATAAATTAGCAACAAGTGTAAAAGGACGGACAAACAGGTAAGTAAAATAAAACTATAATAAATAAGCAACAAGTGTAAATGGACGGACAAAAACAGGTAGGTAAAATAAAACTCTATAATAAATAAATAAGCAACAAGTGTAAATGGACGGACAAACAGGTAANTAAAACAATCAACTTTCTTTTGCAGGAGAAGCTGACGGGGGACCCCCTACGGACGATCGGCGCGACGGCGTCGGTGACGCTTTCATCGCCATAGACCCGCCTGGGGGTTGTCTAGGCGGTGGCTGTGTGCCGCCACCTGCGGTTGCGTTAGGGGGCGTCGTAACGTTACGAGGCCTTCCCTTCTTCTTTTTGCGATTATTGTCGGTAGAAGTTTCCGACAACTCGTCAGTCGAAGAGCTTAACGCTCCTTCACGTTTCCTCTTTTCAGACTCCGTATGGGAGAACTGACTTGAGGTTTCCACATTGTCGGTGAGATCCACCGGCAGGGGAATTTTGAACACACCTAGATTTCCGGAAGTGCTGGTCGAGGGTTGAACCTTCGCCTTTACTTCCGATTTAATTAGCGACTTGATGGCGGCTACAATCGCGGGTATTAGGTCTTTAATCAGACTATCATACTTGGGCATAGAAGCGGTTGCAGACGAATACGACACTCCCTGAGTGGGCGTGCGTACTGTCGTTTGTTGTAGTTTTCGTTTTGCCTCAACGTACGATAATTTATCCTTCGTCCTTATTTCTTGTATCGCCGCTTCTTTTTTGAAGACGGGGCAGGATCTGGACCGAGCTGAATGCGGTCCACCGCAATTAACACAAACGAGGGGATCCTCGCAAGGTCGTCCCTCGTGGATAGCTTTCCCGCATACACAAATTTGTACGGCCTCACATCGAAGGGATGTGTGACCATATCGTTGACACTTAAAGCATCTCATTGGAGCAGGTATGTATAGCCTGACATCCAATGAGTAATAAGCGGCCTTGACTTTTTTCGGCAAAATAGGGCTATTAAACGTCAGTATATGATTGGGGGTGTCGCTGAGAACACCCTCTCTTTTAGATTTGATTCTCCTCACCTCTATTACTCCTTGTGACCTCAGTTCCATCTGGATTTCTTCCACGGAGCAATTCAACAAATCAGGACAGTAAACAATGCCTTTCGAGGTATTCAAGGCTCTATGAGGGTTAACCTCCACATCAATATCTCCTATTCGCACGCTGGCCATGACTCTTTTGGCTTGTGCCGCAGACGCGGTTTCAAGCAACATACCTTCTCTGGTTTTCTTAATAGATTTAAAATCTCCATACAAACCGTATAATTGTTTCTGTAGGATAAAGGGACTTAGTTTGTCAAAAGACAAGCCATTCAAAGCCTTGACGACAAGGAACCGGGGAGTGACCTCCTTTTCCGAGTTCGTCAAGTTGCCCGTTTTTTTAGAGGCGGGCGCCTCTTGAATGGGTTTTCTCGTAGGATTTTCCATTCTATTGGGTTCACCAGCGCTTCGTGTAGAAAGGAACGGGCTGAGGATGGTTGGGAACGGGTATACCCTCGGTTAAAGAAACCTACCCCAGTTCCCCGGGGCCCAACCCTCATTTTATCGATTCCGGATAAACACGGACGAATCGATACTCGTTCGGGGCAATGCGGATTCCGACCTCCGCATCCATTCTACACTACCTGATCAGGGCCCGAAGTGGCTGGCCTCTGACACGTACCCAGTCCCCCCTCGGCAGAGCAAGCTCACATCAGCCTCCTCCACCCCCGGCCGAGACACCGGAGGCTTCGTCAGCACTCCCAGGGTTTCCAAAATACGTGCCAATCACATAAAAACGAAAAAGAAGACGAAGAACAAGAGACGTAACAAGCCGGTGCCGTGCCGGTCCTGGCAAAAAAACAGACTATAGAAGTCAGGCTGGTTGGTCCGCGTCGGGTTAACCCGATACTCGCCGAAGCGAGCGTTCCCCTATCCGCCACCTGGGGACGCGCCCGGTAGGGGTCCAGATCCCCCGCGGGACTATTATTATTATTGTTTAGAGTATTATTATTATTATTATTTATTTATTTTTTTTTTTTGCTGCCTCTTGTTTTGAATGGTTTTCACAGAGCGATTTGCTCAGCATAAATTTACATTCGAATTTAAATAATCTATACGTTAATTAATTTTAATTTTAATTTTAGCAAAATTTAGTACACTTGTCGAGCGATGCAGAGTCTTACTCTGGCTCATTTGAACGTGCGATCTCTGTTACCATGCTTTAGCGATTTGAAGGGTTTGTTGTTGGGGACCGGCTTTTCACTTCTGGGTCTGACTGAAACCTGGTTAAACGTTTCTCATGACAGTACCTATTTAAATATTGATTCATATTCTTTCTTGAGGCAAGATAGATGTGGCCGTGGCGGTGGAGTGGCGATGTATATCAGAAATAACATAAAATATAGTATCATCTCAACTAGTAATAATATTGAACAACTATGGATTCTGATTCGACTCAACGGAACGGCAATGGCTGTCATAGGATAATCGTAAATAAATTCTCGTTTAGGCGGGTTGATGAAGACCAGGTGATGCGCGTCATCCACAGTATTAAAAATAACTCGGCGGGTCTCGATGGTTTAAACATTAAATTTATTCAACTATGTTCTCCTCATATTTTGCCTTTTATCACACATTTGATAAATGGGTGCTTGTCTGCAGGTCATTTCCCCACTTGTTGGAAAAGGTCCATGGTTCTGCCNACACCTTTTTTATGTTTTGCGAGGATATATTGAAGGGGGCCTCGATATTTATGTTTATGCGGTTCCTCAAATTTGTAAAACGACGACAGTTTAAAATGATGTGTGTGACGGTCAAAAACTCGTCACAGTCGTCGCATCGAGGTTGCCCCTCTCCCTTTAGAAGGTGAGAGGAGATCAGGGCCGTGTGTCCCAGACGGAGTCGGTGGTATATAACCTGGTCCTCCCGGGACAGAGATATTGTCGAGGCATACGACAATAGCGCCATTTCTCTCCTTTTCCACAGGGACGGCACGCCACACTGGCAGTATAAGCTGCTTGTGGGGGTTGTGGGAAAGGCCCCGATGGCATATCTCAGTCCCAGGTTGTGGATAGTGTCTAGCTTTTTAAGCAGGGACTGTCTCGCCGACGCGTACGCCACCGCCCCGTAGTCCAGGATCGGCAGCACGAGGGCATGGTGCAGCCTCAGCAGGACAGACGAATCCGCACCAAACCGAGTATTGGACACCATGCGCACAGTGTTCAGTGCTTTCTTGCCGCGGGCCAAAAGGTCCTCCACGTGATGCGTCCACCGTAGTCCTCTGTCGAGGATGACGCCTAAGAACCGCATCGATGGTACGCACTCGATTCGCGACCCGGACACTCGCAAACTAGGGTCCGTATGTTCGCGGCGTAATCTGCAGAAATGTACGGATTTGGTCTTATCTCTGGATATTTTAAAACCTCTATAACAGGCATTTTCGTTTATTTTGTTGATCGCCGTTTGTAGCATACGCTCCATTACCGCCATGTCACTCCCACTGTAAAAAATGGCCAAGTCATCGACGTATAGGCACCTGCCGACGTCGGCATCCAGACCGGATGTGATGGAGTTCATGGCTACCAGGAACAACGTCACGCTCAGGGTGGAGCCTTGCGGTATACCGTTCTCTAAAGTTTTCCGTTCCGACAGACTGTTGCCTACCCGAACTCTGAAGTTTCGGTTTTCAAGGAAAGACGATACGGCCACGGAGAGTTTTCCCCGAAAACCCCAAGCGTGGAGTTGCTCGAGGATGCCGTATCGCCAGGTCATATCGTAGGCTTTTTCGATGTCGAAGAAAACGGCAACCAGATGCTCTCTCTTGAAGAAAGCGTCCTGAACGGCGCGCTCCAGGAGGACCAAGTTGTCGGTGGTAGAGCGACCCTGCCTGAAACCAAATTGATGGTCGGCGAGGAGTCGCTTACTTTCCAGCACCCACACGAATCTGGAATTCACCATTTTTTCGAACAACTTGCGACGTCCTTTCCTGGTTCGGTCCTAGGAAAGGGGTCTTGGTGCCTCTTTTTTTATGTTCGGGATGTTATCGGTCTCGGGCGCCACCTTATGTTTAGAGAGTTAAGGAACTCTTTCGCCTCCAAGTAGCTTTTGGGGGTTACAGTCGGAGATTCAGGGTGTTTGAGAGAGGGTAAAAAAAAATAAAAACATGCGGTTCGTAAATTTAAGAAATAAAATCAAAGTTTATTAATAATAAAAAAAAATCCAACATNTCCAGAATTTCTGATATGGGGCCGTAGTATCCGGCCCCCTTGATGGCTCCGATCTTTCTCCACACCTCGACGGGGGAGGTTTTGCCGGTCAGGGAAGAGACGAAGTTTTTCCAACTATTTCGTTTGGCCGCGAGCATAAGACGTCTCGCTTTGGCCCTCGCTTTTTTGAATTCTATCAGACGCTCAGGCGTGGATAGATTCTTAAAGCGATTGTATGCGGCTTTCTTTGCTTTAACGGCTGCTTCGATTTCGGGGTTCCACCAGGGAACGGAGCCCGTCCTCACACGTCCGCTACTGCGCGGTATCGATTCCTCTGCGGCGTTTTGAATGGCACGCGTAAAAGCGGCCACGTCGTGTTCCACGTCACCGTTGAAGGTCGGTTTCCGGAGCCGGAGCGCGAATCGCGTCCAGTCCGCCTTCTCGAGAATCCACTTTCTCGGTGTTTCGTGGTTTTCGGTTTGACCAGGAATCGATACTATTATGGGAACGTGGTCGCTAAAGGATAGATGCTCCGCCGTGCTCCAGAATAATCTTGGAGCTATCGACGGAGAAGCGATGGACAAATCGACAGCCGTTAAAGCGCCCGACCTGGCAGACAAGTGTGTGGGATCGCCGGCATTCAAGAGAACAAGTCCCTCGTCCTCCAGGAGTGTTTCGATACTGCTCCCCTGGGCGTCTCGGCGGTTGCAGCCCCACATGGGACTGTGGGCGTTGAAATCGCCCAGAAGCAGAAAGGGACGGGGAAGCTGAGCTATAAGGCTACGTAAGTCGTTTAAAGTCCATTCAGGATTTGGCAAGTAAATACAACAAACCGTGACCTGAAATGGAGCATCAACTTCAGGAACAGAACGAGAAAGTAAATCCGGTATTATGTGATCTTTTCCCTTTCTATGAATAATTTCATAATCGTATTGTTGCAAACGAATTGAACATCTGGCCAATCTACCACAAGGATTTTTCAGATTATTCAACCAACATAACGACCAATGATCTGTAATAACCTTAAAATGTGAACCTTCAACGTAGGGTCTTAATTTTTCAATGGCCCACAAGACAGCTAAACATTCCCGTTCCGTAGTTGACCATTTTCGTTCCTGACGCGTCAAAGATCTGGACAAATAACAAATAACACGTTCACCTAATTCAGGATCTATCTGAGTAAGCACTGCACCAACACCGTAAGCACTTGCGTCGGTTTGAATCACAAACTGTAAGTCAAAATTCGGGCAACACAAAACAGGTGCCGTAACCAAATGTTCTCTAATTCTCGTAAAGGATTTTTCCTGAGCATCTCCCCAACAAAATTTAGTTCCTGTCTTTAGCAAAAGACAGAGTGGTTGTATGACGTCCGAAAAATGTGGTATAAATCGTCTATACCACGATGCAGTTCCCATGATACTTCGAACATCTGAAACCTTCTTTGGCGTTGGAATATTCAAAAGAGCGCTAACCTTGTCGGGATCCACATGAAGTCCCTGCTCATCCACAACATATCCTAAATATCCGAGCTCACTCCGACAAAAGTTACATTTATCACTGCTCAAAGTCAAACCAGCCTCTTTCAAGCGACAAAATACTTCCTTTAAGACAGATATATGTTCTTCAAAAGTACGAGTAACAATGATAATGTCGTCCAAGTAAACAAATACGGATGGTTCTAACTCAGGTCCCAGTACTCGATCAATTAGACGTTGCCATGTTGCAGGTGCTGAGTGTAAGCCAAAAGGCATTCTACAAAATTGATATAATCCGCGTCCTGGCACGGTAAAAGCTGTATATTGACGGGAATCTTTTGCTACTGGTATCTGCCAGTAAGCAGATTTAATATCCAGGCTGGATAAATATCTCGCATCTCTGAGACGATCAAGTATGGCACCAACAAAGGGCAGAGGATAAGCGTCTTTTTTAGTTACACCATTAACTTTTCTGTAGTCCACGCAAAATCGATATGAATCATCCTTCTTTCGAACAAGCACAACAGGACTACTCCAGGCACTTTTTGATGGTTCAATAATGCCATTTGCCAACATTTCGTTCAGTTCATTATCGATGTACTTCATTAAGGCAGGTGACAAGGGATAAAATCGTTGTTTTATCGGATTCATGTTGTCAAAAACTTCAATTTTATGTTCTACCAGATGAGTGTGTCCAATTCCAGACCCTAGGGTTGCAAAACCCGTCTTCACCACCTCATTCAACACTACAGACTGTTCAGAAGTT